CTGAGGTATCAATGCAAGCCTTGCAAATGGCATAGCTTATTTAATGATTCAGAGAGGTTTTTCATTTGTGCTCTGTATATTGTAAAACTCCACAATCCTAGCAGACTTTTCATGAAAAATAGTGAATGAATTTCTGATTTCCGTTTTAGATCCTATCATTTGTTCCAGAAATCCCTTATGCGCACTGAAATGTAAATGTAGTAGTTCTAATCTTTTCAAAATCTGCTTGGTATATTTCATGGAAGACACACATACTTATGAGGGACATTTTGTTCAAAACTATTAAATTTGTGAGTTCTAAAAAAATCAGGTATACAAGTATTCTGACATGTAGATTTTCATTACAGAAATCACCAAGGCAGAATCAAGCCCTGTATGAGCCTCTTGATCTCTTCAAGACTGAAGACTACTTTCCTTGTCTTGATCAAGGACAATGTATGTGATTTAATTGAAAGCGATAACACGTAATGAAGAGTATTATCAGTAAGATCCATTAGATTGTTGCTGCACTTTTTTCTAGAAAACTACGTGCCTTCCTTGTGTGTCCCAGTTTGTCTTCAAGTGTATTTACTTATGCTGGATTTTCTGTATAAATAATATACTAGTATCTTAAAGCACAATCTAATATAAAGCCTTAAGTGGCAGCTAATTTTATCAAGAAAAGATAGTATATATATAAACTGTAAGCAAGTCAAATACTATCCTCTTAATTGAGAGATTAGACAAAGGGAATAAATGGGAGGGATTGGATACACAGGAAGATCTTCCAGCCATTATTTTCAGTCAGAATAGTTCAGAAAACCAACCTATATAATTTACCTCTGTATTTCCCTCTCTCCTAGGATAAGAAAGATTTTACAGCCAGGTATCAAAACTGTATTCCATGGTTTTCTGGCTAAATTCTTTTGAAGATTAACAAAGACTAACAAAATAAGTGGGGAAAACAAAATATACCATATTTCCTGCTGTTAATCTCTGTACCACAGGCATATTTTTTAAATAACAGTACTTAGAAGTGCAATAAGGACCAAAATATGCATCGACGCTAATGATCTGGATTCTGTTCAACACAGCAAGAAGAAATCCACTGGCTGACTAGAGCATAGTAAAAGCAACTTTGTTCTTTGAAATGCTATATACATATTTAAGAAAACAGCAATATGTACAGATTGCTAAGTTGCAGAGGCAACTGTTTCATAAAGTTTTTCATGAATATCCTTTTATATAAGATGTGAAATGTTTGATCACCAAAGCACTTATATGTTAACTTGTAATTAAACATTTAAATTAAGTTTTAAATTAAAATGCCATTTTAAAGCGTGTTGTTCATATCTTAATTACAAAGCCATCTTCAGATTCTAAATGCATTTGAGAAACTGTGATAAGATGGTTTTCTTTTTTTACAATGTAAGATGGCAGAAAAAGGAAGTATTGATAGCCAAGTCCCACAATCCCTGCCACAACTATACACTATGAATTTGCAGGACAAGGGGGGCAAAGGAGTCTTTTATTGGCAGTTCTTTTTTTTTTTTTGTCAGAAGGCAACAGCGAACAGGGCCTTGATTTCCATATTTTTCTTTTTAACAGAGAATATGACTTCTTCCAAGAACTATTCTAACTCTTATTCTGAAGTTTGCTTAACCATGATGCACAAAATGTTGATATAAAAATGAAATGGGGCTTAGTTATATATACCATCTATGTAAGCCAGTAAGATGATTTATGATAGGGACAGCTTTATCACAGGAGCATGTGAAAGTTTTATAGAATCCAATTTGAGGAATCACCTTTCTGTTTGTACCTCCATCATATTATCAGCCAAGTATTTCTAGTCTTAAATTGTGGGAAACAAAGTTGTGTTCTTCAAACATTTTGGATTTTGGCTCCCATTAATACTAGGCTGCATACCTCATTGAAAAGTGGAGTTATTGGCGCTCTCTGAGCTTGGTTATTTGCTTGCAGATGTTTCATTACCTGTATGTATTTCTTGGAATCACTGATAAGTGTGAAAATAGTAATTCAACAAAGGGAAAGTGGGACTAAATTGATTAGGAAGGTGTGTATTTTTTCATTTGTCCTTTTTCATTACCAAATCAACATGATTATGAACAACTTAATCAGAATTCTAGTTTTTAGGAATTTACACCTACTAAGGGTAACAATATACCCATTTAAGGCTTTTTAAATTTTACTTCAAGGGGAATACATCCATCATATTTGGTATAAGTCAGGGATAGGCAACCTCGGCTCTTTTATGACTCGTGGATTTCAACTCCCAGAATTCTTGAGCAGGCCATGCTGAGGGGAAAGGGAGAGGTTTTCAAGCTGAGCCATGCTGGCTCAGGAATTCTGGGAGTTGAAGTCCACGAGTCATAAAAGAGCCAAAGTTGCCTACTCCTGGTATAAGTTCAAGTTGAAGCATTTCATTTTCAGATCTGACCATATAGCCTTTTACAGAGAAGCAACTGTTCATTGCACCTAATGATATGGTATATGGTAAAGTAATAATGTCAGCACATAAATCAGAAACTATTCAATCTCTCCTAAATTGGTACACTAAATGTAGGGAAGAAAAGTGGGTCGTGATTTTACTGATGACCACTAAAAAAACCATTATAGATGATTTTTCAGTGTGGCCTCTGGATTCCTCTATGTGAATTACTAGCAAGATATATAACTGGAGGTGGATGCAACCAACAAGATAGAACCAAAGGGAGCACCAATAATTAGAAAGGTGCTAGTATTCCTGACCAAGGTCTGGAGTGTGAATTGAACAAGGATATTGTGTACCTGGTTCAGGGATATGATGCCAGATGGAGTGAAAATATCCATGAATGAACGGAATATCACTTGTCACAAGCAGGAAATGAAAAAATGCTGCAACCAGGTAAGTTCCCCTACTTTTCTGTTTTGATAATTCATGATTATTCAGAAATGAAGCAGCCAATTGGAGGACTACTCTGTCACTATGAAAATTTGATAAAGTTAAAAGGAAACATGCTGAGCTCACATGGAAAGAAATATAAAACTTCAAAACTTCCACCAGATAGGTTTTTTTTTTTAAAGTAAATGCTATCAAACTGCGGAACATTGAAATTTCAGTAAGTTTAAAATACAAGATACAGGATAAGAATGGGAACAAGCCCAATATTTCACCAGAAAACACATAAGCAGTACTATTACAGAATAATTTCATATTCTAGATGTGCAATGTAAAAGTTGTGTTGGCAGACAAGCATGGAAAATCTTGACAGTTGTCCATTCTTTGTATGTTAAGTTGATGAATGAAGTTCCAGAAGAATAAAATATTTGACTCTCACATGGCTGCTCCAAACTGAACTCATGACCTCCCAAAGGCTAATACCCACTAGTGGATCAAAACCACTGACAATTCACTTTGTTGCTCTGGAAAAACTAGCTGCTGCAGTTTGAACCTGTGATCAGAAAATAGAGGGCAAGTGAGAAGAATTACGATGACCCTGTTTTGTGACAGCCTAGCAATGTGAATAGGTCTACACCAAGTGTCCCTTGCCATTGCAAAGCATGATTCAAGCCTACTCAAGGTTTACTGCCACAAAACACCGTCTGTCCCTTGCCGTTGCAAAGCAGGATTCATGCCTACCCGAGTTTACTGCCACAAACATTTTGGGGGGACAAAATGTTTCTACTTTTAAATGGTATGTTCTAACCATTCCAAAAGTGTTCTGACCTTGAAACAGCCATGTTATGAAATAGCTATTCAAACTCAGAAAAGGGCCCTTTTTGTACCAATATTCAGCGCTTCCAAGGGAATGCTTTAAAGCCGTTAATGCAGAGATGTTTCATTAAAACACTGAAAAGGAACAAGATGCTATCACTATAATGATGAAAAACATGTATAGTGCAAAACTATCAGTCTGTATAACCTGCTGCTGGCTGGGTTGGGCTCCCAATTAGCTAAGCATTGAAGCAGTATACTAAATTACTACAGTATAGCATAGATGCAAAAGCTGTGTTTTGCTTCACAGATACATTATATTATTTTTGCTCCTCCATAATCTTGAGCCAGTACTTGCAAAGAAATGAACACCAGTTTGGTAGGGATTAAGTCATCGTGCTAGAAAGCAGGAAACCATGAGTTCTAATCCCGCCTTTGCCATAAAAGCTAGCTGGGGACCTTGGGCCAGTCACTCACAGGGTTGTTGATTTGGGGAAAATAGGAGAAAGAAGGAGTGTTAGATATATTTGGCACCTTATTTGTAAAAATAATAAAATGTGTGATAAAAATAATTAAAATGAAATGTAGCATACTCTTAAGCTAGAGGTCCCCAACCTTTTGAGTACCAGGGACTGGTCCATAGAGAGGTTTTTCCACAGACCGGAGGGTGTGTGGTTTTGTGTGCTGCCTGCATCTCACGGATTGGGCTTTGCTTGTTTGTGTGGCCCGGTTGCTGGCATGTTGTGGACCGGTGCTGGTCCACGGGCCGTGGGTTGGGGACCCCTGTCTTAAGCAAAAGCACTACTATTGTAACAACTCCACTTCCAATGTTGGTAAGAAATCAAATAATTATAGAGTAGTATTAAAATAGCAATAGCAATGACACCCAATAAGTATATTTATCCTCCTTTTATAAAAATAAGACTATATACTGCATGAATTTGGACCAAATAGCAGTTTAATCTCCCCTGTTTAATCTTGGAATCTACCATCTTCCAGAGCAGGTAACTCTCTTATCTTTAATTGGCTGCAGTCCTTTTATTTTGTGCATAGTGTATAAGGTTAGACAATGTTATTCTTCACTTCAGAATCTAATATTTCTCCCAGTAACCCTGAAAGATGAAATAAGAGCCAGGAAGCTAGGTGGCCAGGTCTTCCAAGTCCTTCATTTCTGCTACATAATTATCAGTGCTAGCACAGGTGTGACCTTTCAGTTTCTATGTCTCCCACGGTAATAAATTCTATTTAAATATCTCTATCTTGATATAAGGCTTCATGAAAGAACAGAAACCAAACCAGTAAACCCTCTTACAATTCTCTGACATTTATAGAAATCTAATAGCCTGCAATGCAAGTGCTTAAATTGCAATTATTTACATGCAGTTTCATCAAAACAAGTCTTGCCATAAGAAACATTTTTAATAACTAAAATGCACTATAAAGTCTGCACACTAAATGTTTTTTGATAGGGCAGTAATAAGTTATGCTGTTCACGTCATAGCTAGATATCAACTAGCAACTAAAGACTAACCTGGATCTGGAAATTGTTCAATCATCCAATGCCCAAACATAATATTTTAAAAGTAATAATAAAACTGCCACAGGCTTAGTCTTACCATTGTTTAAAAATGTCTACCAGGCTTATCTTTTCAATAATTTTAGACAAAATTATTATCTATAGGTAGTATCAAACCATCAGCTACTATACAGAATAGTTTTCACTCTGCATTTGAAGAAAAATAACCCTAAGCTTATAAATGCAAACATTCTCTCACATACTGCCATTATCATAATCCAAGAGATTGTGTATCAGTCACAGTGCAACATATCCCTACACTAGATTGCTGAATAAATTGCCGTTAGTCCTATATTCCAAGACAATTTTTACAGCAATATAGCAAAGTGTCAAGAACTTATTTCCAATTTTGCTCTTGAATATTTGTCAGCACAAGGATTAACAGACATGAATGCAATACCTATAACTTTCTGGAATAAAATGCAAACTAGAACGCTGACAGCAAGCTACAGCATTAAGTAAAATTGGCTCTAGACAGCCATTTTAGTCTACATCAATTTTTCCAACCTGGACATCTTCCAAATACATGAGCTTCACCTCACAGAGTTCTCTAGCGATAATGGCATAATTAAGAATTATAGTAGCATATTTGGGGGATATATGTTGAAGACAAATACATCTTAACTGAACAGGCATCTCCTAACTTTATTTAATCCAAGATGCATAATCAACACTTGGAAACGAAGGCTACAGAAAAACAATGGCATATCTATAAAGATCTAGTATTTCTTACTAAAGAGAAGTTCAGAAACAGCGTTTGAAATTTTCTCATGTGTACCATTGTATCTACAGGAGCAAATAAGTTGTTTTAATATTATTGTATTTTTGCAGTGTACTGCTATACACTGACAATTTGAATATTTTTGAAGGTGATAAGGTCATATTAAGAGCCAAGCATCTTAATTTTGAACGGAGGGGATAATTCTTTTACACTGTTACAATCGTCTAACCAATTTTGATATTTTACCAAAACTATACACTTTATTATTTTTAGAAACAATTGGTATTTTCTTTAAAAAAAAAACCTAGAAATTTGTTACACAGTTGTATAAAATCCCATGGACAAAACTACATCATAAGCAAGGGAACAAAACAGAACAAAAAGAACTAGAACTTCAGGTATTCTGAAATAACACGCCCACTGCACTGATTGTGTTCACACAAAATAGTGAGCTATGATGCTAAAAAATCTAGTTTATCATTCAGGAGCAGCACATTACCCTATGACTCAGCCTTGGTACCATCCACCAGTCAGAGAACTACAATAACCTGTGCTTACCTAAAGCAAAAACCTTTCACATTATGTCAAAACTAAGGTTCATGAATGTTCTACATCTAATGAACCAGAATTCAAAATAGGCATCCAAGTCAGCTCATTTGGGAGCCAAAAGCCAGGTCTAAATTTGAATCTAAATTTGACATTAAGCCTTTTCTTCCTGCTGATTTCTTATTGTAGTCTGTGTTAGTGATGGAAAGAAGTAAGGACTGATCAGGCAAAGTAAAAACTGCTTGTGAATGATAAATCTTTTTTTATAATTCTAACTTACTATTGTATGCAAATGTAGCCAAAGAACAGTAATATTTTAATATTACAAAAAACTAAGCAAGTGGAATAGTTTTTGATGTAATATGCAATCTTGCTTGCCTGATATCAGGACTATTTTTTAAAAAAAAAATTATACATCCTCCAATTCACAATTTAAATTCAAACTGTGCTTTACATTTTTAAGTTCTGACATATTAAAGCCCAAAAGCACAGATGGCTTAAAGTTTTTTATTGCCTTTAGGCAGAAGTATCTCTTTCTCCCAAAAAATGATGCAACATCCACTTTCCATGCACATAGAGTGGATGATAGCAATTCTAGTTCTTTTTTACTGGGATACGGCTTCTTGTGAAAATAATCTGCAAGAAATCTTTTTTGGACTTCATTTGAGCTTTGTTGGAATGGCTTTGGATTTAACACCAACACATGAAGATCTTCAACTGAAGACTCTCCCTTGATCTCAGTTTTAGGATCAGACTTTTGTCGTTTGGAAGGCACACAATTCACCTCATTTACTGGAATTTGGGCTGAACCATTATTTATAATAAAGAACGGTGGATCCTCATCACTTTGGTCTTCTGAAACAGAAACAGCATAAAGATGATCAGACTGTTTCCTCTTGGCTGAAGGAGAAGCATCATCATGGTTCTCCCCGTTCACAAGTGGTAGATCCTGCTTCTCATCAAGGTCAACCTGCATCTTCATAGCTGGCGTGTTATCTTTAGGAGCGCTCCGGCATCGAAGCAAATGCACAGCTATAGCTGTTAGAGACATGTTGCCAGTGTACACCCCACAGCAGTGAATACATTTAAAAGCAGGAGACTTCAAAATGGTATGCACAGTTGGCATGATGTGGTGCCGCTCTTTCAAGTGGATTTCATAAGCATCTGTGGTAGTGAAAATACCGTAACAAAAAGGGCAAGTAGAAACTTTGTTTTCTCTGCTCATTTCAGCATCCTCTTGTTGCAGTTTGATATACAAAGGTATAAGTGTCCTTGAATTTACTCCAGCAAGTACTACAAGGTGCACTTCTCTTTCACAAAATTCTTTTGAAGTTATACTGTAGTCAAAATGAGGGAATACTAGATGATCTTCAGAATCACTCAGAAGCTGAAACCCTTTATCCTCATAATCTGAGTGCAATTTCTTCTTTCCATTATGTACAGTTCGTGTGTGAGCCACAAGGCATTTTAAATCATGGAAAACACTGGTGCAGAAGAGGCAAGTTAACCCATGGATAAAAATATGTTTTACAAGCTCTGCCTGAGTTAGAAAGCATTTACAAGAAAAACATCGCACTGTCTTATCTTTTAACCACCTCAGAAAAGGTGCACAGGCTGCAACTTTGTCTACTTCACGAGTAATCTCCATCTTAGATGTACTACATTTGTGGGCCACTTGCATGTGCACTTGATAGACATTTGATGGGAAAAGCTCACTACAAACAGGGCAAGTCTTCCACTGCTTAGCTTGTTTAAGAACTAAATTCATTGCAGAACTGGTTGGAGAAGTCTTGGTCAGAGGGTTTGTAGAAGAACTTACTGCAACAGGAGAGGGCACAGTAGCAGGACCCTGAGACAGCTGGGCAACTGGGCCAGATGGCATCAACTGAACAGGCACCTGAGGTGGTGGAACAGTTGCCACCCCACCCCCTGGTGTCCCAGGCAAAGTCACAGAAACTGGTGCAAGAGTGTATGTAGGTATTCCATTAACTTGTTTGCCAGTTGGAATTAACTGTCTAAGCATAGGTCCAGTGGTAAGTAAAGTAGCATTCTGAGACATTCCAGGTCTAACAGACTGATTTACTGGAGGAACTTCTGGTGTAACCGGCTGATTAAACTGTACAATCCCAGGTCCAGTAGCTGATGGGTTTACAGGAAGAACCCCTGGTGTGACTGGCTGGTTAAACTGAAGAACTCTCGATGTAATTGTTTCGGAAACTGGAAGAATTCCAGATCCACTCCCCATAGGCCGATTTACAGCAAGGATCCCTGGCGATGAAGGCCTGTTAACTGGAATGGGACCAGGCTTTGGCATAATTGGATTGCCGATAGTTCTGATTGATTGATTACCTACAGGAAGGAGATTAGGTCTGATTGGTCGAGTGAATGAAATGACTCCCGGAGGAACAGCTCTCCTTATGTTTGGTATGGGCTTCTTTAGGCAAAAAACGCTGGGTCTTACTGGCTCTTTTACGGGGAAACGATGAGAAACAAAGACTGGTTGGGAAACTGCAGGCTGAAGACCAACACTATTCTGACTTGCTGGGCGAGGACCAGAAAGAAGGGCAATGTGTAATTGGTCAACAGAAGTCGAAGCTGTCATACTATTGGCGCTACCTGAAACACTCAAAGGTGCAGCCACGTTGTGAACTGCTTTCGTTGGTACTGTATTTTGATTCTGATTAACTGATGGAAGTGAAAGTTGAAAACGTGATGTAGAATTTGATCCTACAGAGGTAGGAACCAGTTGTGAAACCGTACTAATTGCTGATGGCTTGGGAGCAATATTGATAATCTGCAGTGACTTTGTTTGTCCTGTTTTTTTAGGCTGAACTGAAATTACACGTCCCAATATGTTCTCCAGATCTTTATGTACTTCAGATGTTAAGACATGATATATTAAAGAATCCCGGCTATTTGCAAAAGCATTACACTTTTTACAGTAGTGATCAGTAAAGTTCTCCTCAGTCTCATCAGGCCTCTCCTCAAAATATGTGCTTATTAGATTTTGAAAATGGCTTACCAACACATGTTTCTTTGTATTGTAGTACAACATGTCAGTAAATTGACATTTCTGGCATACAAAGTTTACTGCATCATTCCGGAATTGTCTCATACCACCACTCACATTATAGTTTTGTATTTTCTTCTTGGAGTGAAACATTCGGAGGTGTTTTCCTACTGTCTTAGAATGTGAAGCAAATGAACATTCTGGACAAGAAACAACTAACTCTTGATCCATTTCATCTTCATGGTAGCGGGTCAGGTGATTTTTGAAACCATTAAGAAATTTTGAGGAAAATTTGCACAAGCTGCAGCAATATGGATTTGTTCTATATCTCTGAAAAACAAGAAAAAGGGACATCATTTGTAGAATTCCCAAATAATATATGTATCAACTAGTCAATGCAGTAGTGCCAAAAAAACATCACAGTCTTGTTAACTGGACATGAACTCTTCTTCAGGAGATTATAATTATCTAGCTTTCTTCTCTGTTTTAAACAACATTAATACAAATAGTATGAGGACCAAGCTAGATGAAATCTAAACTTTTTGCTGCTGTTGTTAAGAATCAGTAAAATTACTACAATACCAGCAGTGTGGACTCCAGCTTAATCCAAGAAGAGAAATAAATGAGGGGATAAAAGGAAAGAAACAATGCTCTTCTATGTCATACAGTTTACACAAGTATTACCAAAACAAATGTCAAATTTCTATTACCATTTATGGTTAAAAGAAAATTAAAGGAATGTATCAATGGAAATCTTTGGTCCATCAAATTAAGACAAAAATGTAAAGCAGAATAACAGCTGTAATAACTTGTTTTCAAAATGCTGAAAAAGCAACTAATTATTCTGCATGCAATTCTGACAATTTAAGAAAAGTATAAAAAAGAAATAAGGTAACTGAAAAAATGCAGAACAATCAACATTTCTTATTCTATTTTCAGAACATCTTCCCCTGTTATCGAACATCTGAATCCATTTAAATCTGAAAATGATAATAACTATGTTACATACCTTTCTTTTAGCAAAATTGTCCCAATGAGATACATCATTCCATGAAGTACTAGAGAAATATTTTTCTCCTGGATCAAAACTTTTCAGAGTCTAAGAAAAAAGCAAGGTGGTAAGAAAATAGCCCATTAACTAAAGTAAAATGTTACTTAATACTTTTAATTTAAAGTTAATTATTGGTGTAATACCCCAAACTTTTTTTTTCCAAATCCTACAGCCCAAGCAAACCACAATTACCAAAAAGCATAATGTATGACCGTTATTATTTTAATTAAAAAAACAATTCCACTTAATTGGCATTACCACCTCAACCATAACTGCTTTCATCTTTCTAAATGATTTTCAGAATGACTTTTGGCTAAAGTAGGTCCACTCATTTGAAATCAGGAATTTTATATGGTTTATGCCAATCTAAGCTCACAATGCTGAAGGTCTTCAGTAGCGAAATTTCCGGCTCAGCTATGAAGCAGGAAGAAAGTCTGGAAGTCACCGGGTGAGCAAATCCCTACTGAGGAAAATTCTCACCTTGCCCTGTTTTACTCTCTCCTTTTGAAATCAAGATGGCAGGGCACTCTATCTTGCTTTTTAAATTAAGCAAACAAATGGCTTTGCATCTTTCTTTAGTGCTTTTGTCCTCAGTCAGAAATTAATAAAAGAAAGAACAAGAAAGGGAAGGAAGGGATTAAGTGGGGTGTTGGTTGGATGCTGTTTTTTGCATTGCCCAACTGGATGGACAGCTGGTTGGCTCATTAATAGTACTAAATGCTTGTGAAGATAGTATTCTGATCTGTCACCGTAATAAAATATTGAATCTTCTAAAGATGGCAAGGGTGAAAACTCTTTGTGCTGATGCAGAACCCCCTCTGATAGTTTGGGGAATAGCACAGTGCAAGTACAAGTAAATCTTATAGCCATGTTCTTAAGTATGTTTAGCAGTGCTAATCAATCCAACAGCAGCAAAATTTTCTCCCATCCACTGCTTAATTCAATCAAATTTCTTGGGTTTTGGGGCCACCTAACTTCAAAAGGATTCAGAGCAGCTTACAATATTTAAAATTTAAGGGAGATGGGCTGATTAGAAATACAAAATATAAATAAATAAAAAGAAACAAAATATATGACTTATAAAATATGAATGTCCAGACAAAAACCACACCAACAACATACACAAGAGATTTGACAAGTGCTCCAAAATACCCCCCCCCCCAAGTACTGGGAACAAAACTAGGCCTGTAGGGAATTCAAAAACACTTGAAGAGAGGGAATCATACTATATATCTCTGGGGGAATGTTGCTCCAAGAGGCACATGCTTCCATGAATTCAATGTTTTGTTTCCTGTTATCAATTCTAAGTGTACAGTAAAACTAAATTTAATAAAGTATTAATTGAACCATGCATTCAAGTTTATAATAATAATAATAATAATAATAATAATAATAATAATAATAATAATAATAATAATAATTGGAAGGGACTTGGAGGTCATCTAGTCCAACCCCCTGCTCAGGCATGAAACCCTGTACCATTTCGGACAAATGGCTGTCAAGTTTGATTTTTTTTTTTTTTTTTGGAATGGTCATCTATACATTAAAGTAAGCAGAGAGCATTGCAGAGATCATTCTAGATTTGAATGATCTGGCTAAAGCTAGCCTGCCTGTACCTCTCCCTTGCCCTTTCCGAGCCTCAGTGTACACTACCAAAGTGCTGTTCTGCTACAAATGCAGAATACCGGCAAGGAAAATCATAAAATATAGGCCTAAGGAGAAAAAAGGCATCTGAAGCAGGAAAATGATTACATTTGATAATTGTGCAAATGATCTCAAATGGTATTCACGAAAAAGAAATCTATCCTTCATGGTCGCACATGCATCAGAAAATGTAATTAGTTAACAAACAGGGATATGCCTATGATATTATGGGAAACATAACCACTCAAAAATAGCATCTGCTCAAGCCCAAATATCCAGTGTACAAAAATCAAGGGATTGGTTAAATATTTTGGATGCAGAGTCTATTGAGAAAAACAGAGACAGCAAAACCTAGAGTACAGATTGGCAATTAATTTTCCCATGGAGCCTCATGAGAAACTGGGACTCGCCTTCTCTCTCTCTCTCTCTCTCTCTCTCTCTCACACACACACACACACACACACACACACACACACACACACTGTGGGCTACCAGGCACAGTCAAAGAGTTGGATGTGGCCTGTAAAAATGCCCAGGTCTGACCTAGCGCCTACCCAAAAAAGCCCCATGTAATAATATAGCAATCCAAAGCTGAGACAAAGCTGGTTGAACTAAGCAGGTTGAACCAGTCCTTTTAAGAAATGGAGCTAAGCAGCATAAATAGAAGAAACTGCTTTATAAATATAAAGTAAATAAAATAAGCTTTATTGGTCCTGATGAATTGAAAAGTAAGACAAAGTCGATGCTCTGGTTTAAGTGAACTTACTGTAAAAGCCTTCTTCAATAAGATGTCTGATTGAAGAATGACTTGTCCCACATTGTCAGATAAAAATGATAAGTCTGAGATCACTTGATCTAAAGATCATGAATGAAAAACACTACCTTAAAGAAGGAAGCAAACATAGGAGACGATGCTAATAGAACTCCACCAACTTCTCAAAGTTAAGAAACAATAAGAAAAAAACCATATACACCCAAGAACAAAACTACAGTAAAAAACTGTAAACTTGATTTATTCTATTAAATATCTGTGTTCTTCATCAAAGTCCCAAGCCTACAGTACTAGAACAAGCCCAGCAAGTTTTCAAAATTAACACACTTCATACTCACGCTCAGCCATGTCTCCAACCTGTCTCCTGCTCCCTTCAATACTAAATTTCGAATCAGAAGCTATGTGGGAGATAGATTTATTTTGTCATGTGATCCTCTAAAACAGTGGTTCTCAACCTGTGGGTCGCGACCCTTTTGGGGGTCGAACGATGCTATCACAGGGGTCGCCTAAGACCATCGGAAAACACATATTTCCAATGGTCTTAGGAACCGAGACACTAGTGAGAATTTCTGCTCAAGGCTATTTCTGCCAACCAGCTTGGGCAGACAGGAAAGCAGCCGCCTCAGCAGCATGGCGGGGCTGCGCTACCCATCACAGAGCAGCTACTGCCGCGTCGCCACGGCTATGAACCTCCTGCTCGGCGTCTTTCAGGTCCTCTTGCCTGGCTTCCGTCTGGGAAAAGCGCAGGGCCAAGGTTAAAAAAAAAAAAAAAAAGCCTGGCGAAATACTCCCAAGGGGGTAGCGTCGATCTGTAGCGGGAGGTGAAGGGGGTGGGTGGGTGGGGGTCGACCAGAAGGGAACCGGATCTGATAAGGGCGAAAGTTGAGTGAGGTTTTCCCCTTCGCCCCTCTCTCCGCCTCCCTTTGTGCAACGGCGTCTCTTGCTGCTGCCTTCCCAGTCGCCGAGAAAGGGAAAAAAAGAGCCGTGAGCGAGTTCCCCTTTCTGCCTCGTTACTTAAAGCTTTTTTTTTTTAAACGACCGCTCATTCAGAACTCCTCGGGGCTTGTTTGCACGAGCTTGTGGCAGATCAGTAAATAAAGGGGTGGGGGAGCCAAACCATCCAAGGCGTTTGCACCCTGAACGTCTGGATGCTGCTTTCATGACTTGCCACCACCGCCCCCTCTCTTCCCACCCTGCTTTAGCAACCCACTGCTGCTGCTGCTGTTGCTGCTGGCTGAGCTAAGCTGCGGTGCCGAGCCAGTTCCCATGCCTCCTGGTTGCCAGGCCTCCGCACCGCGCCGGAGCCTCCCCCGTACCACCCGGCCCGCCTCCCTCGCTGCTGGAGGGCATCTGTGTGCGTCTCCAGACCTTACTGGACTACTATCCCCAGCAGCCCTAAAAAGCACTGTGGAAGAGTGGGGAATGCTGGGAGTTGCAGTTCATCACCATCTGGAAAAACATGACTCTCCAAAGATCAATCCTTCCTTCCTTCCTTCCTTCCTTCCTTCCTTCCTTCCTTCCTTCCTTCCTTCCTTCCTTCCTTCCTTCCTTTCCCCCTCAATCTCCTTCCTTCTCCATCTCCTTCTTTCCCCTTCAATCTTCCTTCCTTCCTTCCATCTCCATCCCTTCCCCTTCAATCTCTCTCCTCCTTCCTTCCTTCCCCCTTCAATCTCCTTCCTTCTCCATCTCCTTCCTTTCCTCTTCAATCTTCCTTCCATCTCCATCTCCATCCCTTCCCCTTCAATCCTTCCTTCCTTCCTTCCTTCCTTCCTTCCTTCCTTCCTTCCTTCCTTCCTTCCTTCCTTCCTTCCTTCCCCTTCAATCTCCTTCCTTCTCCATCTCCTTCCTTTCCCCTTCAATCTTCCTTCCTTCCTTCCTTCCATCTCCATCTCCATCCCTTCCACTTCAATCTCTTCTCCTTCCTTCCTTCCTTCCTTCCTTCCTTCCTTCCTTCCTTCCTTCCTTCCTTCCTTCCTTTCCCCTTCAATCTCCTTCCTTCTCCTTCCTTCCTTCCCCTTCCCTCCCTCCCAACATTTTTGAGCAAGGAAGAGTAAGCTTCTCCAGCGAGCATTGCTATATTGTTTTTGTGATTAATCACTATGCTTTAATTATGTTCAATTCGTAACAATGAAAATACACCCTGCATATCAGATATTTACATTACTATTCATAACAGTAGCAAAATTACAGTTATGAAGTAGCAATGAAAATAATTTTATGGTTGGGGGTCACCACAACATGAGGAACTGTATTAAAGGGTCGCGGCATTAGGAAGGTTGAGAACCACTGCTCTAAAAGAAGCAGTTCCTCATGCTTTGAATCCATGGCCTCCCCCCTCCTAACTTCCTTTTTACCATCCCTGTTGCATCTCAATTAGGGACCGGCAAACCCCCTCCTTGTTTCCATCTTGGAAAGTGAGAAAGACGTTCTCCTCCAAAGAGAAAACAACTCCTAAGAAAGAGAAGTCCTACCACGCAAATAGAGGATGATAACCACAGACCATTTTAAAAAATGGTCTGCCCAAGACCACAACTTTTTAAAAGAATACGATGAGAAGACAAAGTTGAGGATCCAGAACTTCTCCAGGAGAAGCGGTCTTTGAAAAATGAATTCTTCACTACACACCTCAAGATTCCCTTCCACGTACCTAAATTGTCCACAAAAAAGTTCTGATGCCAACATAAAAGTAAAAAAACTCCTCTCATGCCAGGTTACCTATATCTAGCCTTAGAAGGGTATCTTCATGAAGGTATGGATGAAACCTAAAAATTAAGGAAAGTATCTTTAATCACAAATTTTGTGGCTTTTCTTTATTATGAATTCCACTGGTAGGGTGTCATCATCAGGATCAGAATCCTGATGATTCTGATCCTGTATGTAATTTTGTTGTTTTCTGTTATATTAATTTTTACTCTTTCTCCAATTTTGGGGGGTTTTTAATGGTTTCTTGTAGAATTTCTATCTCATTCACTATTTTTTTCATTGAAATTAAATTATGCAGTCAATGCTTCCTCATAATGATACAGTACTCATTTTGTGGCATATATCCACGTTAGTCCTCTCCCTCTCTCATTTTCCTCTTAACAATTCACCACAAATCATTGCCATTAATATCTGCCAGTACTGTCTTTATCATCATTTCATAGAAAGTATTTTATTCCTCCAATGTAATAAAAATATGGAACGAAAGCAAACTCAGTAGCATAGCTTCTCCTCATGCTTAGACAAGAGACTGACAACATTTCAAGCCTCCACCAAATAAATGAACCAGTAAAGAAAGGAAAACATTAAATCTGCTGTTTAACGTCTGAAGCTTTGGAATGGGCAGGCATATATAAAAAATATATTATCAAAATACTGCTGCTAAAATGTAGCAAGAGAGTAAGAGTGGAAACAGTATAGAGACAGAACCAAGAAAATGGTTGTGACTACTGCAACCCATAAAGCAAGCATATCCTAAATATCAGATACATAAATATTCACTGTTGCCTACTGAATAAAATTTACCAGACTAAACCAGATTTGTAGATCACCAGACTGAGCCCAGAGGAGGAGTCAAACGAATCATCAGTCTCGAGTCCCTTCGTGCTCACAAGAAATCTAAGTCCAGCCCACCTCGAATTCCATTGACTCTTAACAACTACAACCACCAATTTGCTTTGACTGTTGGTAGTTCATATTTTTGCAGAGAGCATAAACTTGCAATAAAGTTTTATGTTTGTTTGAATTGCCTGGACTGCTGATTTTCCTGCATTTGACAGACTTGTCTAAAGGATATGACAAGTCTAGCCAAAGCTTTAATTAGAGCCCAGTGCATCTCATGATATACCTATTGCTTTACAACTCGAAACGGTAACATAGACAAATCTTTGCCATGCAACAGAATGGCAATTTTCTTCCAGGGATAGAAACAATACCATACAAGCCCAGTTTGTAAGAGAGGATTCTGTCTTGGAATACTTTACTAGGACTTCACTACTGAATTTGGACTTTCTCAATATTTATTTATTTGATTTTTACGCTGCCTTTATTACTTTATAAGTAACTTAAGGAAACAACCTTCCTTCCTCCTCCTATTTTCCCAACAACAATCCTGTGAGGTGGATTGGGCTGAGGAAGCGATTGCCCCAAAGTCATTCAACTGGCTTTCATGGCAAAGGCAATATTAGAACTCACAGTCTTGTTTCTAGACTGGTGCCTTAACTACTACATCAAACTGGCTCTGTATATACAATTACATTATCCAATAATATTATTTGTTTGAAACTGCCACCTCCAAGGGGAAAAAAGGTACATAATGACTTATAGATGATTCAATTTGGTACACAAATGACTTTTTGAGATCATTTTAATATGCATTAATATTTTAATTTGCAATATGCATACATAATATGTTAGACTCTCTTCTCTGCTTTTTCCCATGCATAATTCCATATGACAACCTTTTTCTAAGTGGAGTCAATGGACAGAGAGTCAATAAAGATTCCTCTTCTCTACTCCTTTCCAAGCAGTCTTGTAAGTTTGAGGAAAAAAACTAATGCAAAGCTAACAGTTCCAGAGCTCTATATAAAATCTAAGCATTCTTTGTGTTTCAAAAGGAAGCATAGTCATGACCAGAGGGAACAATGCTTCTATGCCAAACTCTGACCACCTGACCAGGAAGAATAACAGAGGAAGGGAAAGAGGCTGTCTCAATGTGGATTAATTCATTCATTAGAAAGACACCAAAAACAATTTAGACTAGAGCATCCCAGTGCAAACTGTAGCATTTAAAGAGCAGTTTAAGAACCTATTACAGCCAAGGAAATACCCTTTTCCCCCCTGATTTTGGTGAATAAAAGTGTCTGTCCATATTTTCAGAACTATATAAAAGTAACCCTCTTATATAAAAGTAAAAGTAACTATATAAATGTTACTTTTCCCATTAAAGCATGGCTAACCCTTGATGAAAGAGTTTTGATATATAGATTAAAATTTAATCATTATAAGTTAATAATATATTTTTGACCTATCCTAATTTCAATGAAATTACTAATTTCATTCATGGGCAGCTTGTACAACTCATTTATTATTTTACAGTGTCACAGTATTACAAGATTTGACAATCCTATCATTTGAAGTATAGGATCCTACTTTTAGTTTTTCCAGGACAAGAACTTACTTTAAAACATTTTGGGTCTCATGAAATCATTTCAGAAATTTTATGTATGCAATCATAAAAGGCCTTCCATTTTTCAAAAGTTTTCTTCTTTACCTGAAGCAACTCTTGACAGCTGTCAAGTCCAATATCCACAAGAATACCCTTCACTTTCTTCCGAGATCTTCTTATATTATCAAGGTTTTGCACAGGAATTTGAAACATGTCAAACTGCCTGAAAGACAAAGACACAAAACAGAGATACATTTCTCAATATAATTTCACATGTATTATAACTGTAACAATAAACTTTGGTAGGAAGCTATATAACATCCACAAGAACTGTAAGATTTGAGAATTGAAGAATACACAATTTTGTCTGAAATGACTGAAATTAGAAAAGACTAATTTCTTTCTTGGAAAAAAGGTACTGCGGTAATTTAAACATAAACAAGGGGATTAAAAAATGAACACTGTTTAGAAATGGAGCCTATCACGAAAACCAATCTGGAAAAGCAGTGAGTTGGTATATCTGAGGATTCAATATGGACTCAGTAGCTGACAATCATGTCCAAGATTGTTCTGTATATCATAGGTATGATATACCTATGGACATGACTGTCCACTGATGAGAATATCAGACAATATTTCATCTGATATCTAACTCAGATATAGTGGTACGTCTATTTAATTCAATGTTATGAAAATCACCAAAAAATTGCTAGTAACTATGGTTAGTAAAAATTGGTACATCCTTAAAGGTATCAAAGATGAGTCTATCCATGCTTTTAATTACTCGGGATGCTTATAGATATTAAGAACTTAAACATATATGGAACAATAGTGAACCACGTTATAAATTTGCAGTGAACTATGTTTCCCTAGAGGCACCTAACAAAAATAAGCAGGAAGAATTGAGGACAGCTTGCAGACAGTATCTAGAATTGGTATCTCCTTCCTTCCATTTTCTTATATGCATTATGCATTATGATGTAAACATGCTTTATGAATATCTGTTGAAGTTTTCTGTTGCCCCACGCAAAGACATATTTATTGTACCTGATCAACTTGAGGATACTTGTGATATTTTGTCATCTTTGCAGTACAGGTAGTCCTCGACTTATAACAGTTCATTTAGTGACAGTTCAAAGTTACAACAGCACTGAAAAAAGTGACTTATGACTGTTTTTCAGTCACAGTCTTTGCAGCATCCCCATGATTATGTGATCAAAATTCAGATGCTTGGCAACTGGTTCATACTTATGACCGTTTAGCACTTTTTTGTGCGGCTGCTGATAAAAACAGGATCGTCAACATGATCGCCAACGTCCGATAACGGATAAGAAGCATCCTGGAGTCATGTGATCATCTTTTGCAACCTTCTGACAAGCAAAGTCAATAGGGAAGCCAGATTCACTTAACAACCAGGTTATTAATTTATCAATGGTAATGAGTCACTTAAGAACTGTGGCAAGAAATGTCATAAAATGGGTCAAAATTTACTTAACAAATGTCTCATTTGCAATAGGAACTTTGGGCTCAATTGTGGTTGTATGTTGAGGACTACCTGTATACTTTAACCATCTCAGTAATTTAAAAATTACAGACATATGGAAAAAGGAGGTATAACCGTATTGAATTTTTTGACTTTTTTAACGGATTTGATCTTCATTTCAACAATGAAGATAAAAGATATACAATGTATTGTACATTGTACTACAAGATGCTTCATGATAATGAGAAACCATCTGTCAGAAGACTAAAGCTCAACCAAAACTGGACCTTGCAACATAGCAATGACTCTAAATATTCCAATAAATCCACAAAGTAATGACCAAATTAAAGCTCTGATCTATAAATCCTATTGAAATGCTGTTGGATGAGTTGAAATACGCTGGGCATGCAAGAAACTCCTCAAACATTACATAGCTGAAAAACTGCATAAACAAATGGTAAAAAAAAAACAACCTTCCCATTTGATGTCAGAGACTGGTAAACAGTGATAAGAATGCCTTACTGGGATAAAGAGTGGTGGTGTATTTGTCAAAATTCAATTCTGCCATTTATCATTAAAATGTTGTGCAAGGCCTAAAATGCATGTTTAAAAAAAGGGCAGGCAGGGCCCATCCCTAGACAATTCTTTGAGCATGAATTGACTCCATGTTTTCTATGTCATTCTTAACTTGCCAAGACTTCCTCCACTAGGGCTATAGCAGTGTTTCTCAACCTTGACAATGCCTTAAAATTGTCAAGGTTGAGAAACACTGGGCTATAGGCTGCCTCTAGCCACAGTGCCTAATTTATGGCATTGGTAAAGATCTATGTGAAATATTAAAAGAATAAATAATTTCAATTATTGTAACTACACAAGGAAAACAGGTTCAGAGAGAACCTCATATCTTGTTTTAGCTACAGTTCCAAAAACCGAGGATATAAGCCATTTTGAGTTGCTTAGTCCTTCAGCTGAAAGAGCTAAAGAGGTCAATTTCAAACCCCTCTTACAATACCATCTTGCACAATTCTTTTCCTGAAAATTGAAGATCATTAATTAAAAGAACAACTCTGGACAGAAACACAAACACATCTATAACTCTGTAAACTGTAAACCAAAGATTTACAGCTTAGGATAGCTTATAAATTTATCACTTATCCTAAGTCATTGTCTTTGGTGTTTCATTCCTAATAACTCTTTGCCGTGATGGCTCGGTGGTTAGAATGCAGTACTGCAGGCTACTTCTGCTAACTGCCAGCTTCAGCAGTTCAATTCTCACCCACTCAAGGTTGACTCAGCCTTCCATCCTTCCAAGGTCAGTAAAATGAGGACCCAGATTGTTGGAGCAATATGCTGACTCTGTAAACTGCTCAGACAGGGCCGTAAAGCACTGTGAAGCGATATATAAGTCTAAGTGCTATTGCTATTGCCATTCTATAGGAGGTTCTTAAGCTTCTTCAACTCCTAAGGCCTTCCTGCCCTAATCATTGTCATATATCCCTGCTCAAAATTTCCTCATTTTGGAACTACTAAGAGATAGGAATAAGGATCCAATTTTCCCATTTCTGAACTTAAGATCTTATGATATTTGAATTAAATCCAAGCGAGCTAAAACCCTAATTTTATGTATAAGGACAACATTACAATATTTTTAACAGTCACCTACCCCTAGATTAAGCCTTTCTTGCAGAACCACTTTGCATATATGGTAACCTGGGAACAGCTCCCACCTTTTTTCCTCCTTTGCCCTTCTGTTTGTCTGGCTTTTCTTGAACATCTTGAAATCTTTATGATCAACGTTCTTGATCTACTCTGACATCACACTTTATTAACCTGATGTGTTGAAATAGTCCGAATGGCTTAAATGTCACTTAGAATTTTCCCCAGTGAGCTGCTCTCCAAGAATGTGAGACTACAACACTTATCTCCCCAGTCATCACAATCATGTTTTTTTCTCCCATACCAGAGGCCATGCAACTTGGGAGACTTATTTGTTTAGGAAGTCAGCTAGATTTTGCAAGTTTACAAAATAGGAGAATGCATTATGTTTTGACTGCTACAAATTCAGTTGTGAAGAATGCCGGTTCTGAACCACAAAACTTGGATAATTTTGCATAAATATACCCTGAAACAGAGCTACGTGATTGTCTATTCATGCATGGAAATGTAAAGATGAGAGCTGTCATATGCAACGCAGGTCCCCATTTATCACGTTTACATAGTTTTACACACACACACACATACACATGTGCATGGACACATCAACAAACATAAACTAATTTTGGTAGACAATAAAATATTACGAAGAAGTAACCAGCACTTGAACAGCATAGGTAGGTTATTTTATTCTATCCCTAGAACCGAAAACACTAAAGCTCCTTCCTAGTTTCCTCTTACAGGTAGAAATAGAGTAAGAAGTTTTCTTTTCCCAAACCGGGAGCTCCATTTCAAATGTCAGGAGAGTTGACGGGCGTCCCGAGATCCCTTAAGTTACACAGAAACGATACTGGCAGCGGGCTTCCCACGCCTGAGGGGAAAAAAGAAAAAAAAAAGCAATCCAAAAGCTTCAGGCCGATTCTGGCGCCCCGTGAGCGAAACGAGTTCGGGTCGAACTCCGACTTGCAGCAGAGGCTCGAGCAGCACCGGGGCGCAGATCCCTTGCGGAGCGGGCCTCCTTTCCCTGCATCACCGCCTTTCTGTGCATCCAGGAAGACAGCAAGCAAGCCTGGGCATGGCCTCTGGCTGCCGGCCGAGCCACGAGAAGGTGCGCGAAGAGAGACCGCGAGGAGGTTCTTCTTGGCGCCAAGCGGGACAAGGCTTCGCGCCTCGGATGGAGAAGAGGACGCGGAGTCAGCTTCTGCCTACATCGGCGCAGGTTGCACTTACCTGTCCCGGCTGCAGGGGGCGCCTACTGCCTGCCCGCTCCTTCCTCGATGGTGACTCCCTGAGGCGGGCGGACGCGTTGCAACCTTGCCCGGTGCCGCCGCCGCTCCTCTTCTTCCTCCTCCTCCTCCTGCCTAGCTGCTACTGCCTGGGCGGACCGGTGACTCGGACCCTCAGTCAGCAGCAGCCGCCCCGCCTGGCTCCGCCTCCTCGTCTCGACCTGCAGCGCGCGCTCAGCACCTCAACAATACCGGCACCGACGGCGGAGCAGCATCATTGAGTTGCCAGCGCCCAGCCGGCCGTGCAATATCGGACTCAGCTTCCCGCACCACCACTAAACCCCCCGCTCCCGTCCACCCACCTCCGGCTGCTCCTCCCTCCTTCCAGAGCCAGAAAGGGAAAATGGCGCTCGATTTGTCCCAGGAAGTGACGTTTCTCTCATTTGCATATCAGTCAGTGGACCAATAAGGAGACGCTTGTTCCACACCTCCCATTGGTTAATTCCATCAGCATCAACCCTGGAGGAAAGATAGTGTTAAAAGTGTAGCCTTGGGGGATCGTTGTGAAGTCTTTTAGAGTGTCTCCCACTTGCCTACCTATAACCTCAACTTTCCCTCTCTTACTTTGGCACTTTTTCAACAAAAAAAGTGAAAAAGAACAACGTGATTTTGTGTTGTGACGTCATCACTGAGGGTGTGACACGTGACGTCATCCCATGTGGTTCTGTCACGTGGTTATGCAGCAGTGATCTTGTTCATGTTAATAGAATGTTGTGGAAGGTTTATTTGCATCAGTGTATTCTTGAAAGCCCCCTTCATATCCAACAACCAATGAAATCCATCCTTGTCAATAGGCTGTGTTTTCCTTATGACAAAAAAAAAAAAAAAAAACACCACTGGACCCTTCTTCCCAATTCAGAGTATGCAATCCTTTGAATTTCCCTCAAAGAGAAAGAAAGCTAAAACCATTGTAACGCCATGTTAAATTTACTTAAGATTATTTCAAATCATGTTGAAAAATTGATGGCAAGTTTTACTTTCTGCCATATGGCGGATGATGAAAGCAGAGAATACCATCACAAATAACTTTCACGGAGAATCTCAGTTGTAAATAAATCACCTGCTCAATAAATTGCAATTGTATGATTTTGCTCTTGGACTTTTAAGGTCTATCCAAAGAACAATCAATAATTAATTAAAATAAATCCAAATTGCCTAATATGAAATTCCATTTTCCATCTAAACTCAAACCATTGTTTTTACTTGTTGAATGTAATATAAAACAAGTTTACAAAAACGGTCATGATTATAATTAATTTTATTTAGACCAGGGGTATCAAACTGCCAGCCCTGCGCCGATTGTGTCATGCCAAAACTGCGCCCACCCCAGCTCCGGCAATGGGAAAAATCACAATATGTCACAACACGTCATGTGACATGGCGAGTTTGACACCCCTGATTTAGACTTATAGCTGCCCATGTAGGTGCAGTTCTATACGTTAAAGAAAATATTTCAAACATGTTCTGAGATGGAATTTTGAATAAAGTGTATACATCTGAAGATGATTCAAAAATGAAAAATAATTTTGAAGGAGCTTAGGATCAAGCTACATAGTCACCGCTAGTATAGACTTTGTTACCTTTTTTATTTTATTTTTTAGACTTCTTGGCTAGCTTCGTTATCGTTGTCCAAGATGTCAAAAGAAAAAATGGGTCAAGAACAAGTGTACAACTTTTCAGTTTTTCTTATTTTGATAGATTTGTTAAATTTGTATTGATATAATCTTTCTGAAATAATCCTTCAGAGACTCTTCATACTTACCTATTCTGCAGTCTTGTTTTTGCCTCCTACATAAAATACTGGATTATCATCAGAATACTGATGGAATTACTATATGTTTTTCTTGTCTGGACTGCTATTCCCCTAAAACAGGGGTAGTCAACCTTGGCTCTTTTATGACTCATGTGGACTTCAACTCCCAGAATTCCTGAACCAGCCATGCTGAGGGGAAAGGGAAAGGTTTCAAGCTGAGCCATGCTGGCTCAGGGATTCTGGGAGTTGAAGTCCACGAGTCATAAAAGAGCCAAGGTTGCCTACCCCTGCCCTAAAAGAAGGTATTAGCAGTTTGAAAGTACTCCTAGATCTGTGTCTTTAGAAGCTTAATTGTTCTCTGTGGCATGAACCGCTTGGATGAGCTTAGGCCATAGAGCCAGCTTTACTTGGATAGTCTTCCCTGCCTTGAAAATTTCTTACTTAAAGCAATAACTTATATATGCCATATTTGAAAGGAATCCAGAAACTTCAGTTACTTCTTAATATTTCAGCAACAGTACCTAGATGTTATTATCATATTATTTCAATAGTACACCATCTTCTCTAACTTCTACTTTGTTTCCAATCTTAATTTAAGATGCTACTTTTAGTTCTAAAACTCTTCATAGTTTGGCACCAATAGCTAAAGGAGCACCTCTTCCCATATAACCCAACCCATACTTCATCTTTACTGGTCTTACTCCAGGTACCTTCCCATATAAGATTTTAAAAAGTCCTTGCCCATAACAGGCCTTCTTAGTGATCACCATTAGCTCAGACTGCCTAATAGTATATCTGATCTACGTGCCAAATTTACTATTCTTCTGGCATGAAAGACATTTTTATTTTCTCTCTCAACTTGTCAATATACTACTATTTTAAGATTGCTTCTCATACGGCAATGGGGCATTTGAGTTAATACTTTTTGCTGCTGTTTTACTATCAATCACCAGTTTAGCTGTGTTTTTAATGAAAAAAAGTGGTTTTAATATTTTGAGAACCTTCTGGAAAAGATAGATTGTAAGTTTTATTATAAATAAAAATATAAAAATGATTCTCAAAACAACTTGAATTCTTTGTACAATTGAACATTCCCCTTCTTTTTTTTCCCTATCCCAATCCCCAAATATGGAGAGTTCCCAATTCTCCAGAGCAGATTTGGGAAGACAGCAGAGGGGAGGAAGAATTTATTAATTCTACACATATCATTGTTAAACACAAATTATTGGCCAGAATCTCATTGTACTGGAATGTTTACATTACAGTACTCACCTTATTTAATTCTATGCATAAAACTGAATTGTCCTGAGATCTGTATTACTAATATTTTGATTGATTTGATTTGATAATGTCTCATCAGGTCAGTGTCAACTCTTAATTCCTGCATACACAGTCCTTAACCAGAGTGATGTCTCCACAACTTAGCCCTAAGGTTACTTAATTTTTATTTCCTTCAGTTTTGTGCTATGTCCTGAACATAGAGGGTTCTCAATATACAGTAGATAAGCAAAGTAATGGGACAAAGTGCATGCCAAGAACTGACAAAGGGTTTCAATAGAAAAGAATATTTGTAACTCTAATGGTATGTGGGAATGATCTGGAAGATAGAAGGAAGAACTACAGATTAGGCAACAGTCAAATAAGTGGCACCTTAGCCTGCAGAAGCAATGGAGACCTGGCAAATATCTCAGAAAAGACCATTCTGGTTTTCTGGACTCTAAAGGTGAGAGGAAAGAAATCTTGTAAGTCTGAAAGTGCTTCTTGTCTGGGCTCTTTAAAAAAAATAATTTAAATTAACCAAAATGAGGAAAGCATATTGTTGTGCAAACAATTTTTTTAAACAAAAGCACTTACTGTTTCTTGTGTTTTGTGAGAGATACTTGCTTTCCCAAACTAAACAATTTCATAAATTCACTGTTGATTTTCAGATACTGGATACATCTTCCTTTAATGTCTAAGCTTGGTACAAGAAACTTATTTTCTATGAAGTCTTACTCAGCAAGGAATATCTTAAATAAAGTTAATGTTGATTGCCTTTTCTTTCCCATGAATACCTTAGTAAAGAGATATTTTATCCACGGGAAGAAATCTACAATCCAAGATTACTGTTTACAATAGTACTTATATCTATTTGTAATTTTGTATTCCAGAGTACATGAATGGCATCTAATGTATAGATATGTAAATTTCCTTCCAAAAGTGCTTTTTCAAAAGGCAATTGGATTTTCTAAAGAAAGTCTTTTGAAAAAACACCTTTGGGACAATCACAACTTGGATGACTGAGAATCTCCACAGACACTTAATTTCCTTCAGTGCCTTAAATAAGACTTGCAAGTATAGCTTTCCCTGTTTACCCCATAAGCAATTTTTTCAGCCTGTTGCATTTTATTTTGTTTTTAAGAATACATCCTTCAACAGGGTAAAATAGAGAGAAAATGGGAAAATCTTCAAAAATTGTAAAGGAAGTTGCCAGAATCAGAACCAGGATGACTTCTTTCATATAAGAATAGAACAGAATAACAGTTGGAAGGAACCTTGGAAGTCTTCTAGTCCAAACCCCTCCTCAGGCAGGGAACCCTATACCAGGGATCGGGAACCTTAAACACTCAAAGAGCCATTTGGACCCCTTTCCCATGAAAACGCTGGGAGCCACAAAACCCTGCTGCTTCCTCCCCACACATGGAACACCCCACAGCCACTGCTCCCCCCCCCACCAAATGGAGCACTCCACTGCCGTTGCTGCTTCCTCCAATGGCGAAGGTGGAGTTTGGGAGGCAGTGGTAGGGTATAGCCCAGGCGTAGCCCAGCAGCAGCAGCAAAGCTCGTCCTCCCCATTCAAGAGGTCACCAGTGGCTCCTCGGCTCCATCCGAGCTGAAGAAAGTGGAGGTGCAGCAGCGGGATTGCTCTCAATAAGGTGGGCGTACACAAGTGAGCAGCACATCGGCTCTTATTGTTTGAGAGCAATAACACTGCTGCACCTCCGTTTTATTCAACTTGGCTCCGTCCGAGGCACTCAAGCCACTGGTGGCCGTTTGAATGGGGAGGACAAGGAGGAGAACAGCGGTGAGGCTTTGTGCCACCCGGCCAGCCAGGCAAGGAGTAGGTCAGGTGATGGTGGCTGGCTGGCTGGGGAGCGGGGATCATGGCCACTCAGGGGGATCTGCCAAGCCTCATGGCAGCAGCATTGGCAGCTCCCCCCACCTGGCCTGTTTCCCCGGCTCCGTACAAGATGCTTGGCAGAACCCCCCCCCCCGTCCCACCCCCGATCAGTCCCACGCAGCACCTTCTTTCCAGCTCCGACACGGTCCTCCGTCACTTCCTCCACTGCCATGTGCAGTCCCACAAACAAAAGAAGTTTGTGGGACTAAAAAAAATCAGTCAATTCCCACTTTGCAATATCTTTTTTTTCCGTGAGAAGTTAGAATTGACTGATTGAACTTTTTTTTTAGTCCCACAAACTTCTTTTGTTTGTGGGACTGCACACGACGGCAGAGGACAGGGAGCCGCAGCAGAGGGATGAAAGAGCTTCATGCAGCTCCAGAGCGATGGGTTGCTGACTTCTGCCCTATACCATTTCAGACAAATGGTTGTCCAATCTCTTCTTAAAAACTTCCAGTGTTGGAGCATTCACAACTTCTGGAGGCAAGTTGTTCCACTTATTAATTGTTCTGTCAAGGAATTTCTCCTTAGTTCTAGATTGCTTCTCTCCTTAATTTGTTTCCATCCGTTGCTTCTTCTTCTGCCCTTGGGTGCTTTGGAGAATAACTTGACTCCCCCATCTTTGTGGCAACCCCAGAGATATTAGAACACTGCTATTATGTCACTCCTAATCCTTTTATTCATTAAACTAGACATACCCAATTCCAGCAACCGTTCTTTATATGTTTTACCATATTTTCCCGAAAATAGGCCCTATCCTGAAAATAAGCCCTAGTTTGATTTTTACGTGTGTGCCTAATATAACCTCTACTCCAAAATAAGTTCTAGTTATGACCTCATCTACTGTCCCACCATCTAGTTCAGTGGTTCTCAACCTGTGGGTCGCGACCCCTTTGGGGAGGTCAAACGACTCTTTCACAGGGGTCGCCTAAGACCATCGGAAAACACATATTTCTGATGGTCTTAGGAACCAAGACACCGCTCCGCATCCGTCTCCGCATGGCCTCCTCCGCCATTTGCAGAGAGACAGAGAGGCACTTTCGCTTCCCTTCTCTCTCTCTCTCTCAGGCAGACTTACCTCCTGCAGGGCTCCTGATTGGCCCTGCGCCTGGGTGCCCCACCCCCTGGGAAAAGCGCAGCCACAGCCTTGTGGCCTTGGAGCCACCCAGGGAAGCCCTGGGATCCCTGCTGGGAGTGGCCTGCTGGAAGCTCCGCTGAGCGGGCCAGCCCTCCCGCAAGCCGTGACCCAAGGGAGACCAGCCCCTACGATCCCCAGCCAGCCCGACCATTGGCCCTGCTGGCCGGGAAGGTGCGCTGGAGTCCAGGCTGCCAGGAAGGAAGGAGATGCAGCAATGGTAGGAGAGGAGAGGCTCCTCCTGGGGCCCGGCGCTGTCTTCCTTGCCCTCCTCTTCCTCCTCTCCTTCTTCCTCCTGCTGCCCCCAAGCAGCTCAGGCGGGCACTGTCCCCACCACGGCTCCATCGATGGGCAGAGGGCGAGGCCGGGCAGCCTGGAGTCCTGGCGGGGGTGGCGGGGACCCCCAACAATGCAGCTGTGCCGCCACCAGAGCCGCTGCCTCCTGTCCTGCTCCCCCTCCCCGCCTGTTCGGCTGAGGATGTGGCGGAGGCTGGCCGGTGGGGACCCCTGACGATACTGCCATAAGAGAGAGAGAGAAAGAGAGAGAGGAAAGAGAGAAACAGAGGAAAAGAGAGAAAGAGAAAGAGGGAGGAAACAGAGAAAGAAAGAGAAAGAGAAAGAGGAAAGAGAGAAAGAGAGAGGAAAGAGAGAAAGAGGGGGAAAGGAAAGAGAAAAAGAGGAAAGAGGGAGAGAGGAGAGGAAAGAGAGAAAGAGAAGAAGAGAGAGGAAAGAGAAAGAAAGAGAGGAAAGAGAGAAAGAGAGGAAAGAGAAAGAGGAAAGAGGGAGAGAGGAAAGAGAGAAACAGGAAAAGAGAGGAAAGAGAAAAAGAGAAAGAGAGAGGAAAGAGAAAAAGAGGAAAGAGAGAGAGAAGAGAGAGAAAGACAAGAACGAGAAAGAGTGAAAGAGGGAGAGGAATGGCGCTTCTCCAACCAGGCTGGGCGGAGCGGCCTTCCTGCCCCCCCTCCCCAGCCAGCTGGATGGGGGTGGGGGTCACCACAACATGAGGAACTATATTAAAGGGTCGCGGCATTAGGAAGGTTGAGAACCACTGATCTAGTTGCACAAGGTGGGGTGAGGTGCATGTAAAAATCTGAAAGGGGAGAGGGAGCCTTTCTTCTACTACAGAAAAATGACATTTGCTGCAAGCCAGCAAACAGGCTCATTTTGAAAGGTGGACCGAAAGACTGACTCCTGTTACAGAAAGACTACATTTGCTGGCTTTCAAGATAAAAAAAATGGTGATTGCAGTGTTTTTAAGGGCTGGAAAGATTAGTGCTCAGGGGACAGGGGAACAGCATGCTGGGCAGGTGAAAGGAAGCTTGGAACTTCAGGATCCAAGCTTTGTTTCTGAGGCCTAATGCAGGAATCCCCTTCTGTGCACAGAGAGAAACGGCCTGCCTTTTTTCAGCAGGCAGCTCTTTCCCTCTGTCCATTTAACAATCCACATTGTCACTTAGCAACCACATCTGAGAGAGGGAGGATAATGGTCATTAGGTGAGGCAATCACATGGATGCCTTATTTAAGAACCGTCATGACTTGTGACTGTAACGGGCAGGCTACATCACAGTTGTAAATCAAGGCCTATCTGTACCACACTCATCTCTACATCCACTCTAACAACTTTAAGAGTAAGGATCATTTGAGATCTGAAGCACTGTGGGTCAAACTTCAATCTCTTTACAGCAGGGGTGTCAAACTCACAACATCACGTGACGTGTTGCAACATATCGTGACTTTTTTTTCCATTGCCGGCAATGGGGTGGGCGCGGTTTCAGCATGACGCATCCGGCCCGCAGACCGGCAGTTTGACACCCCTGCTTTACAGCCTAGACTCACCCAAAAATCCAATAAGCAGGCACTCAAGGGGTAAAAAGCCCCCATTGCTGAGAGACAACAATCAGATGAGTCCTTGGGTAGCCTTTGGCTAACAAGAACATCTGGCTGGCTTGCAAAATTGTTGGCCAGCCCTGTGCAAGGGGTACAACATTCATTTATGATCAGTTATAAATCGTAATAGTTAAAAATATTGAGCTTGTCAGCTGGAAAGACGACAATCCAGGTTTGAGCCCCGTGTGACAGGGTGAGCTCCCGTTGCTTGCCCAAGCTCCTGTCCATCTAGCAGTTTGAAAAAAATGCAAATGTGAGTAGGTAAATAGGTACCACTTTAGTGGGAAGGTGACAGCATTCCATGTACCTCAATGTATAATCATGGTGACCACATGACCGTGGAACTGTCTTTGGACAACACTGGCTCCCTCGGCTAAGAAACACATGAGCACTGCCCCCTAGAATCAGACACAACTAAACAGGGGAAACCTTTACCTTTTTTAAAATAAGCAACTATTTTGCACATACCTACTTCTAAAACGGTCAAGATTAACTTTCCTAATATAGTAAGGTATACCCCAATTCCTCACTTTCCTATTTAAGCATAATGGTTTCTTCTCATTTTTTTTGTCTACATGACCTTCTTGCTCCTTTATAATGGGAAAATACTAACGTCCCTTCTAAAATGGCATTAGTTCAGCTTTCTAATAATTACTTTCCAACACAGGCACAATCTTTTTCCATAAATGTTATATGACCATAGAGACCAGCATTAGGGGACAGAATTCAAAGAAGAGAGTCAAAGCACATAATTAATATCTCCTTCAGTTACAGTTAAGTAGATGACCAAAATAGGAAGAGTTGACTGATGTGATAGCTTAAGTTACAGTGGTTCAAATAGTTTGGCTTTTGAAAAATGCTTGACAAGTTTCAAACCAAAGTATATAGGTTTTTTGGAATAAGTTTTTATGCCTTTTTAAATTTCCGTTCTTTTCGTCAGCTAATCCCTAGAAAGATTTTTCACTATTAAACCAAAACATTCATTTTTTTTCTTTGCGGACATCTCTATACTGAAGTCCCATTAATCAGGGATGATGTGCTGAATTCATTCAAAGGAGAACAACCTATAGCTCAAGGGTGTCAAACTGCCAGCCTCCAAGCCGGATGGATCATAGCGAAACCGCGCCCACCCATTGCCAGCAATGGCAAAAAAGTTGCAATACGTCGTGATATGTCATGTGACGTTGTGAGTTTGACACCCCTGCTATAGCTTCAGTTTACCTTGTTTTTGAGATATGTAAGTATCTGATATTCCTATATGGAGAATCAACAAATAGCACAGGTGAGAAAATTCTCTTGGGAGAACAGTCCATTGGAAAATCAAATATTCAAGTTGTAATCTTCTAACTTTTAGAATCTAACACAATGCATCATTCACAATTGGGGAGGGGGCACTCACCTTTCTTCCAGTCCATGAATTTTGCCAGTCTAAAACTGGCTCTAAATTAGGAGCAATATTACAAGATAGAAGATATGGGGCAATCAGCATCCCACTTGCATATACTTTTTCTATAGCAGATATATAAATACATTCATATGCTAAATGTGGGGCTGACCAGCATATATCTAAGGGGCAAGAGAAACATCTACTGAAATTAACAGTGCTCTATTCTCAACCCATGAAGCATTTTATGTATGTCCCTATACTTATTAGATGTACGTTTCCCTCAAGTATGGCATTTATCCTTCCATCCAATACTATCAAAAGCTCTCAAGTTTTCATCTTGCAGAATAATTTTGGAATTGCCCTACCTCATTGCCTGATAATATAATAGAAATCAAGGAAAATTACATATCTTTTTCTTCGAAAGTGTATTTTTCCTTGAAATCATGAAATAAGTGGCCTAACAACAGGATTCACATCATTTAAAAAAAAAAAAAAAACATTTCATGGTAAATGAAGAAAAAATATTTATTTTGATGCCTTCAAGTCAACAGTCCTTATAAATAATATTTAAAAACTCACCTTTCCCCTTTTTCCAAGCAAAGGGAAAATAATCAATGTCTGAGTTATAGATTGCAATGAAGCAGAAGGCTGTGTTTTAACCTCTGAAAGCATTTTGGGATGCTAAGTGGTTCCTTTTAAATCCAATTTCACAGACATGGATTGGAGCTCAGTTGTAATATTTAGGTGGTAAACACTGAACCTCTTTTAATAAATCTAAATAGTACAAAATTCCAGTTCGTCTTCAGCAATCTCCCTTCAAAGGAAACTAAATCTGAGTAAGAAACTACTCACTGCTAAGAAAACAAGGTACATTATGCAACAGAATCACTACAAATTGAAAACTGCATGTTTATATTTTTATGATCTATTTTATTTCCTAAAAAAGGCATCTTACTTTAGAAACTGCATTCAACATTTTTTTAATAAGATGAAAACAGAATGGTATAAATTTATGGGGTTTTTGTTTGTTACATGCTATATATTGAAGGGATTTTTGTTCAAACACAAGGTATTACAAAGATACAGGCTGAAAGAGGATGGAAGTAGCAGAAGTTATACCACTTCTTTGTTACCATTTTGAAAAACTAACTACATGACCCTATCTTGTTTAAACTAGATTAATATTGTGGATGGGAAGTTTTCATGTTGGCACTTGAATTGAATCTTGTAATATAGAAGGCAGACCAATTGATCATATTTCTTTTTCATATGGTGATTTATAACATCAGTTTAATCAGCTTCAGTTTTCAGTAGTTTGCCCTGTTGCATCATTGACACCCTTACATGAATTAACATATGTTTGTACATGGCTAAAGAACATTTGCAACAAATGGTGATTAGTTTTCTGAATAAACATCACATTATTAAGAAATAATATGAAAATGTAATTAAATTTGAATCATGAGAAAAAAAGGTATACAGACATAACAATTCTTTTTGGTTCACTAAAACTGCATACAAATTATTTTATTGCCAAACTGTTGTTTGTATAGGAAATATACACTGTGTATCTCCACAAGCTTCATATAGTTAAAAAGGACAAACTATTTTCTTATGAAGTATTAAATGTTTTACATCAAAGGATGTCTAATATTGCAACTATTTTAAATATTTCAATTAACAGGAGATAAATGCTTTTCAATTGCAGTTACAGAAAGAAAATAACTCAAACACATTTAAAACCAACCTTTATATGATATTTGTAAGTGTAAACCAAGAGCAGAAATTTCAGGCAAAATTATAAAGAGCCAACCTAAATATGTCATTACAACAAACCCATTTGTCATTCATGTTTTTGAGAACAAACATCTGATGGAATCCCATTACTGGATCATTGTCCACCTACCATGAGAGAATACAAGCTTAATAAATTCATAAATAAGACAAATTCCTCAATAATTTAATTATAGAAAAAAGCAAGCAAATGCATGCATTTTTGAGGCTCACCAGTTTCAACAGAAATACATAAAAAATATTTAATGCTTTTGATAAGATTGTTCTGGATCTGATGTCCTATTTTGATAGAGCTATTTTATGTATTATATTGCAACTAACATACTTTGAGAAAAATACTGTAAAACAATTAAACACACTCTGGATGCCTTAATATTCCGGCTTTAATGTTAAATCTTGGAAGCTTTGAACAGATTTCAACCAAAGATAAAACAATAACAAATCTCACCTTCAATTGACCAACAACCATACTAAGGATACAATTATCAGGAGCTGGCTGATGATCCTGGGATGTTATATTATGTTGAATTTTTTGGAAAGGAAGCGTCTGTTATATATAAAAAAACCCATTAAGACCTCAGAAGATACCACATATCCATAGAAATCCATTGAGGGATTCCATGAGGACTTTTATCCGGCCTTCCCATTAAGAAGCGTTTTCCAAGTAATTATTTAAAGTCACTGCATGAAATGTTTCAGATAACATTAATCAATTGTGTATTATAGCCTGATAAATAACATACCATCAGTTTTTCCATAATTGAAGCTTTTCCTTGGAACTGCTGACCTTCCCAAGACAAACAGGAAGCATCTGTCTGTGAAACAGGGACATGTTTCAGTAACATGCATATTGAAATTATCAAAGAAAAGAAAATATACAAATAAATAATCACAGATCTAGCCTCGGGCAAGAAATCCTCAATGAACTACCCACCCACCCACCCAAGACTTTTGCAATATTTTCTATATACTGGAACTCGGAATGATAGATAGAAATGATTCTTATCAGAACCTGTCAGAGAAAGAAAGAAAAGAAGGAGCTGGAGAGACAGGAAGGAGCTACCAAAAAAGAAAAGCGAAAAATATGTACCAATATCAATTTTTTTTGCCACTGGCATCTTCAATTTCTCCATTCATCACTTAACAGGAATTTCTTAAAAGTTTAGCCTATACATTGCTCTCCAGAAAATAAAGATTGTCCATTTTGGTTTCTAGCTTAATCTCCATCTGTGCACACTCACAGTGTTAATGGGAGCAAAGATAGTGTAGCAGCAAAAGGGATGCTAAATTATAATGGACATAGACCAAAAGCCATAAAAGGGATATGGATAAAAAGGAGCTGGATTTCAATCCAAACTAGCCCAATCTCCCAGAACACCTAGTAAGAGCTCACCAGCCATGCCAACCCAAAACCATGACTTATAAATACAAAGGCCAAACTGCCTATTGAGAACAAGCTGCCAAACTTCTACTCTGGCCAGCATGAAGCAAAAGTGAAGTAGCTACAGACAGTCCTCAACTGATGACCGTAATAGAGTCTGCCCGTTATGGTCATAACTCTTGGCGGTCATGAAGCAAGATATTCATGTGATCAACCAATTATGTAACCTTTTCTGTGGTTAATTTTTTTTTGTAAAAATTTTTATTTTCAACTTTACAATACATAACAATCTTACAAATACTTCAGATAAAAAATAAAACAAATTGATACATACCACATTCGGTCTTGCCCGCCCATTTCCCCCCAAACCGCATCCCACCTCAAACCAACTTACTTCTTTCCCTTTTTTTCTTCACTCACCCCCTCTCCTCCTTCACTCAACCTTCCTACTTACTTCTCACCTTCTTCTCCTCCCTCTTGATGCAGTCCAGGGGAAATGCCCAAGCAGTTCCTCTCTCAAAATTAAAACATTAATATTATATACAATAAGACTATTTCTACTTTATCTGAACTACTTAAACTTCAACCCATCCACCTTTGGAGGAGGTTATGTATTATAATTCCAAACACTTGCTGAGAATCAGTTATAATCAGTTATAAGTCAAGGACCATCTGTAATTGTTTTCCACCAGCCTTGCTTGAAATTGCTCAATTAATATCTTCGAACTACGACTTTTGCTGTTTTAGTAGAAACAACAGAGCTCTCAAGCCAATAATCCATTCACTGCATCAATTGGATAATCACTGTTTAAGCAAAGATGTGTTGATACATACATAAAGGGCACCTAATTGTTCCCTACTGGTATCAAACTGTTGATAATACAGTTGTACAAAGCTTGTTCCAATTTGCTCCCACATTGGTCTTTCTGCCATTTTGCAGACCTGCAAAGAGAAAAAAGGGCACTCTTTATTACTAAAATGGAAATACTAGTTGAAAACCAAGCAAGGTAATCGCAACCTCACCTTATGTAGAACCAAGTCTGAAATTAAATGAAAGGATAGAAGTCTACAAAATTTGAATCACTTCATGTCATGTATGTGTTTAAATTTAGACCTGAAATATACACCAAATCTTCTAACTCACCCGTTCACTCTTTTCTGTTGATTTTATATTATGCTTCTATAATTATTTAGTTGAAAGTAAATTCCAATACCATGCAAGCATGTTTAATATTACAGTGCTGGCAGAATTCCTGCATACAAGTAAATCCCATTTAACACAGTAGGGTTTAATACTAAAAAGTGCACCGAACTGTGAAGCTGTAGATCCATTTAGGAGTTTCACTGACTGGATTCACAGGTCACACAAGAAGACTGTTTGGTTTTGGCTTAGTGTGTTGAATGAACAGAAAGAATGGGTTTGTTTAACAAACTGGCCTTAGGAGCACGCTGCGAATTCCGTTATAAACCTGGCAAATAATTCTCAGTGAACACAATAGGTTAGATCTGAGTAAATGGGGGGGGGGAAGCAAACCGCATAATCCACACATTCATTTGCCACACACTTCCTCCAAGAACAGGCACTTTCCCGTTAATCCTGAAAATATACACTATCCCTGAACTTGCGTGTTAGCGATTGTATTTCCTAGAACCGCTGTCTCCATTCTCTGAATGCTGGGGGACAAGGCCTCTGTTGGACGTACCCCGGATCGCTCATCCGTTCTTCGGTGGCGTCGCTTCCCCGAAACAGGCGGAAGCTCCCTGGGCAGGATAATTTGCAACTGCCGAGGCAACCAGACTCGTTGGCGTCTAGAAAAATATTGCGAGGTCTGGGGAACGTTAAAAGCAGCATCTCAAAGGTGCTTTTCCCAAAAACCAACTAGACATCTCTCTCCCCCCCCCCCTTTGAAGCTTCTTGGATGAGAAGCAGAACGTTTTCAAAGGAAAAGAAAACCAAGAAAATCCAGTGGCCTTTTGGAAAAAGCACCTTCGGGATAACCAGGACCTGGATGGTTGAGAATTTCCATAGACAGTTAGTTGGAAGCAGCGTCTCTCAAACCTTGCCACTTTTAAGATGTGTGAATACTGGACGTTGAAGTCTACCCATCTTAGAGGCCAAGTTGTTGTTTTTTAAAAATCTGCTTTGAAGTTTCCAATGTCACGGCAAGCAACTGCTCTTTTTTGGTTGCCGTTTTATGTAAAGCCACACATACTCTAACAAGCTATGCAGACCTCCCCCTAATCCTGCATGCCGCCGTTTGCACGCCAATCACTCCAAGCGTCGCCCAACTGGCTCGGACCCTGACCCGTTGCAGACTTGCGCCTAAAGCCTCCGGAGCTGCGATCTGCTTTTATCCTCGCCTATCGCCAGCACCCGGTGTAGAAGAAGGGGAATGGGGCACTTCCCTTGAATCTGGAGGAAGGATTCAGCCACCGAGTGCACCGGATCGGGTGGAAGCGCCAGGGGAATCTTTCAGAAATTCGAGACCGCAGCAGGGCATGAAAAGCACATGAGATCGGAACGGTGCCGCCCCCCCTCCCATCCCCACTATTTGTGGCTGGGATGAGTAAGATACGGAACCTCACGAAGTCACAGTAGGAGATGCAACTCACAAGGAAAGGTAACTCTGAAAATCGAGCGCTGCAAAATCGCGCAGACAACTTTCTTCCAGACTCCCGCAATTTTTCAGTCCATCTGCCCATTAAAAGTCTCGGTCAGCAGCGTTAACGCTCAGTCACCAACAGGTGGCGTCCCGGGCGAGCGGCAGAAATCGGATACGTCACGCCTACTTCATCCAATGGTGGCTCGACCGCCAGTTCTTAAAAAGTACTTCGGAGGCGGGACGTTTCCGTTTAATTTCTGTGCTGATTTCGGTTTCAGCCGGAATGGTTGCTGCAGTAGTAAATTAAGTTTACAGCATAAATACAGTTTTATACTGTAATCTCTAAGATCCGCTGAATTCAGTCGAGCATGTGAAATAGAATCTCTTGGTCTGCAGATAACAAATTTTACGTTAAGAATTAGTGCCATTTTTGGCGTAAATTGGAGTAGAAAAAGGTATTTTTGGATATAGTTTATGAGCATGTGCAGCTATACTAAATACTAACACATCAGAAAACCGAGATCTGGAATAATAATGCTGATGCTTGTCACTGCTTTTAATATAATTCCTGCAAGTTGCAGAAATACTACCTAGTGAGTGTATCTTTATTAGAATTATATATTAGACCTCGTTTTCTCTAGGTAGTAACTAAGGTGACCAACCGTCCTCCTTTAGGGAGGACAGTCCTCCTTTTGTGAGTTCTGTCCTCCCTCAAAAAGTGTCCTCCTTTATGTCCTCCTTTTCGATATTTGAAGACTAATCTGCAGGGCTTTTTTTTTTTTCCTCATATAATGCTCAGAACGGCATTCCGGCACCTTTTTTTGATGGTTTTTTTTTTCAACTTTTGCATGAGCTGTGCTACTCCCACTATTGGCTTTCGAAAGCCAATAGGAATTGCTGCTGAGTGCGCCAAAACACCCGGCTGGCAAACTTTGTACATGCAAGTTGTCTGTATTATTGTTGCAATGAATAAAATGTTTCTTTTATTTACGATATTTTTTTCTTCAATTTGTGTCCTCCTTTTCATTGTAAAAAAGTTGGTCACCTTATAGCAGCGGTTCTCAACCTATGGGTCGCAACCCCATTTGGGGTCGAATGACCATTTTACGGGGGTTGCCAAACAACGCGATCTGCCATTTTTCCTCCTCAGGGGGCGGCGCCGCGCATGGGGACGATGTCGCGCATGCGTGCCGCGCATGGGGTGCCGCAGTGCATGGGGGAACCGCCGCGCATGCGCGCCATGCATGGGGGGGCAGCGCTGCGCATGGGGGCGCCTCCGCGTCCGTGTGACCGGGGGTTGCCGTATAAAAAGGTTGAGAACCGCTGCCTTATAGTAACTCGAGTACTGTACAGATAATCCTTGATTTACAACCATTCATTTGGTGACCTTTCGAAGTTACAACAGCAAAATCACTGCAAAAACTGATTTATGACCATTGTTCATGTTTAGGACCCTTGCAGTGGTCAAAATTCAGATGCTTGGCAACTAGTTCATATTTATGATGGTTGCAGTGTCCTGGGGTCATGTGATCACATTTTATGATCTTCTGACAAGCAGTCAATGGGGAAGCCAGATTTTCTTAACAACAGTGTTACTAACTTAACAACTGCAGTGATTCACCTAACAACAATGGCAAGAAAGGTTGTAATATGGGGCAAAACTTACTTAACTGTCTCACTTAACAACAGAAATTGAGTTCAACTGTGGTCCTAAGTTAAGAACTACCTGTACTGACTTTTCTTATCCATAGTAAATAAGGGCCAGTAGATAACGGGCTCTTTCCACATTATTATTTTTTCATTTCAATGATTTAGTGACAACACTTTTTCCAAAATGCACCTTCTGTATAGGATTGCTTTTTTCTCCAATATCAGATTACACATTTAAGGATGGAGTACATATTTCCTGGGAAAATATTGCACAATTTCCACTTTATTTATTGTTGAAGTTATCACCCGCTTTTCTCCTTTAGATAATCTAAAATAGCATGTCTACTTTTAAAAATGCAAAAAGACCAAGATATTGGTTAGATCTCTGTAGAGTACTGGGCAGGCTACACTAGATAATTCTCAAGACCCCATTTAATCCTTGCATTGTATGATTTCCAGGAACATTGTTCTCCCATAACATCTCTACATAGGCAAAATCTCCTTCACGCACCTGGTGGTTTGCTGAAGATCAGTGACATAAACAGGCCATAACTAGGAATATGCCTGACTATCCTTATAACCAAGAACAGGCCATAGTTATCTTTATTTCCTGCCACTGGGAGGTCCTATTGTTATTGTATAAAAGCTGGTTTGTTGGCTGAAAGCTAAATTCTCTTTGCAAAAGATCAGATTTACTTGGTCTAATATCCTTTTTGCACATAAAATTCTGCACCTTCTCAAGCTCATTTGACCGCCTCTGGTGTGTCAGAGTATGGGAGCGGAACCGCACACTTGTGTGACTTTGCATTTAGGATTATATCTAACGTGGTTGCTTTTGGTCCATTAGAAAACCACTAAACATGTATTGGTAAAAAGCTAAACATACCTTCAAGTTTGAATTCAGCTCCTAGTGTCTGTATGAATGAAGCCCTACAGCTGGGGTCTTCAAACTTGGCCCTTTTTATGACTTGTGGAATTCAACTCCCAGAATTCCCCAGCCAGGCATGCTGCCTGACGAATCCTGGGAGTTGAAGTCCACAAGTCATAAAAGGGCCAAGTTTGAAGACCCTTGCCCTATAGCATTCCAGACATTCTGATGGAGGTTATTTGCCCTTGTCGTTTTTTAAAAAATGTTGTTTGTTGGTACTTTCAAATCAATCTGGATTCTTGATAGCAATAGCACTTAAACTTATATACTGCTCCATGGTGCTTTACAGCCCTCTCTTAAGTTATTTCACAGAGTCAGCATATTGCCCCCAATAATCTGGGTCCTGGGTCTTCATTTTACAGACCTTGGAAGGATGGACGGCTGAGTCAACCTTGAGCTGGTGAGGTTCAAATTCCTAGCAGTGAGCTGAATTAGCCTGCAGTACTGCATTCTAACCACTGCGCCACAATGGCTCCTGTATGAGCTGTGATATAACTGTATGGACCAGCCATTGTGGGTTTTTTGGCACCATTTTCTAAAAGTAGCTTGCTCTTATTTTCTTCCTAGGGCTGAGAAAGATTGACTGGTCCAAGGTTAGCCAGCTAAGGTTGGGCTGATATTCACGGTCTCCCAGTTTTTAGCCTGGTGTCTGTAAATGTCCATTTCATGCTTAAATAATATCCAACATTATTGCATATACTGGTAGATGGGGATACCTGAACATTTCCTGATGCTGTGGAATATTTAATCAGAACATGCTAGGCAAGAACCTAATCATTAGGTCTTGAGCACAAGGCTAATTCTAACATATAAAAACTCATAAGAAAATAAGGTCTTCAGGAGGCGGTAACATTGACAATGAAATTACAAGTTATGAACTGCCTTGTCTACCTGGCCTTTACAACTACCGGTAGTAAGTCAGACCATGCATTAAAACAAGATTACTTATTGATTTACAGGTAGTTTTCAGCTTACAACCATTCATTTAGTGACCTTCAAAATTACAGCAGCCACCAAAAAGTGACTTATGACCGGTTTTCACACTTACAACTGTTATAGCAGGGGTCCCCAACCCCCGGTCCGTGGACCAGTACTGGGCCACGGCATGCCAGCAACTGGTCTGCACAAACAAGCAAAGCCCCATCCGTGGGATGCAGGCAGCACAAAACTCTGCACCCTCTGGTCCGCAGGAAAACCTTTCTCCACGGAACTGGTCCCTGGTGCCCAAAAGGTTGGGGGCCTCTGTATTATAGCATCACCATGGTCACATGATCAAAATCCGGATGCTTGGTAACTGGCATATATTTATAATAGGTGTGGTATCCTGGAGTCATGTGACCACCATTTGTAACCTTCCCAGTTGGCTTCCAATAACAGTCAATGGAGGGGGTTCCGGTGGCGCAGCGTTGCCGATGGCGGCTATTTTTTAGCCATCCTTCTGAGACAGCGTTAAAACCGCCGAGGACAGCAGAAATCAGCTGTTCCGCGGTTTAAAACCTCCTTCCTGGGCTAAAGGAAGGAGGGGAGTTCACCCAGAATAGTGGTAGAGCCTCTGAAATCCCCAGAGTTTTTTTTTGGGGTGAAAAGAGTGCTTCCACGGAGTTCAGGGTGTCTCCGCTTCTCAGAAGCCTTTGTTCCTTGTTGTTTGGGACAAAGCAAGACGCCGCTCCCACCTCCGCGATTAAAGAGAACGGGTGAGTTATTTAGAAAGCGGACAGAGCTGATCAGTGGATTTTGTTTTTTGTTTTTAGTTGGACTTTAATTTTAAAGAATTACTTTCATTTTTTTCACTTTTTTTGTAGAGAGGGAAAGTAAAATGGCGATGTGAGGTGTTTTTTTTTTTTGAGTGCTTGAAAGGAAACGGAACAGGCTTTGGTTACTTTATTACTTTTTTTCTTTTTCATTTTTTTTCTTACAATGGCTTTTTGA